AAAAAAAAAAAAAAAAAAAAAGATACAGGATGTGTAGAAACGCCTGTTATGCAGAGTTCTTTCACGTTAAAAAGTCGTTTTTCTGGCAAAAGTATTAAAACATTAATACATTTTTATGGCACTGGGTAGACCACTTCAGGATAGAGGCTAGTTTCACACTTGGCGATTTATCGCACAAATTTAGCTGCGTGACATTGCACAAAACAGCGATTTTCATTCAAGTCTATGGAAGCCGTTCACACCTTTGCGATTTTTCATGCGGTAGAAAATCGCCTGTCACGCAAAAAAGGTGCAGAAGCTATTTTCAGTCGGTTGTCGCACAATTAGGGTCCCATGGACATCTCTATGCATTGAAAAACGCGCGGTTTTCAAAGCAAAGTCGTGCAAACAGAAATGCGCGTCAACTGCACGAAAACAGCTCACCAGCTCAATCGCCTAGGTGTGAATCTAGCCTAAAGTACAGAAGACTTTCTCTGGCTAGCGATGTGTGCTATCTGGACAACAAGAGGTAAATCTTAAGGTGCCCGCACACCTTGCGATAATTGTACGATAATCGCGGGAAATCCCGCTATCGTACGATTATCGCAAGGTGTGTGGAAGGCGTGCGACCGTTTCTACTGTACGGTCGCACGACTTTTATCTTAGGAACATGTTCGAAAACCGGGCAAGAATCGTACGATGTCAGCGGGTGTGTGGCATGTTTGTAAGATAAATGCCGCACGGGCCGGTGTGCGCAAGCTGCCCCTTCAGCATTGCGGTCATCAGAAGCCGCCCCTCTGCGGGGCAGGCTTGCGATTATCGCAAGTACGATCTGCCTGTCCAAGATGGGCAGATCGTACGTTTTTTTTAATTACCTTACAACCATCGCAAGACAAAAGTCTTGCAATGGTTGTAAGGTCTGTGGCCAGCTTTATACTTAAAGAAATCAAAAGCCTTCCCTGAAACTTAAGACGTTAGCATGATACACACAGTCCGCTATACAGAAGACAGATGCAGTATACCGCTATTTGAGCATTCAGAGCACTCATGACAACCTCCACTCCCCTGTTATAAATGAACCCGTCACAGAACTATATCCAGAGTCTTTTCCCCAACACTCACAAGAGCTCCTTCCAGTTTGAAAATGGCCGATGCTCCGAGACTCTCGGAGGGGGCCATTTTTCTTCTCCAGCGTCTTCGTCGGATCGCATCAGAGCTTCGCTGTTTCAAGTGAAATTTCCAGCCTATAAGAGCGGCATATTCCCAGCCATCCTGATCCTCCTGAGAAAGGGTTGCCTGCATCAAAACAAGAAAATGCAATAGTGCGTTATGATGGGTGGTAAATACGACCTATATTCTTACACCAATTACACCAGCTTTGCAAGCCATTGTAAGGCTTATGCCAAATGATCATTGATCAAGTGTTATGACAACTCAGTCATAGGTCACACTGCACACATTAAAGGACTTACCTTAAATGGTGCCTCTTGATCTGATCATCATCTTCTTTTCTGCTGGCCGGTCCCACCCCGGAGGCTGGCCTCCGGTCCAGCGCTGACTGTCCTACAGAGTCTGTGCATTTACTTACTTTGTGTCTCTCCTCGTCTCTCGACTGAAGATCTCAGCTGCGCATGCGCCCGCCCCCAGATCCTTTGTGGCTACCCGAGAATCTTCAGATGTTTGGACAGGAGCGTGTGGCGAAGACACAGGTAAGTTTAAACCCGTTTGAAAAGTTTTTTTTTTTTTTAATAATGTTTTTGCATATATCTACTGCTTGCTAGCAGTAGATATAAGCAACAACCACTAAGGGTTTAATAAACCCCAGATAGCAGTAAAAAGCAAACAGGGGTTCTAATTCCTTCCCACCCTAGCCAAAAGTATAACAGGAAGCCATACACTAGTAAACTGTGCACCGTCTTACCTTTTTGCTTGCGGTGACATTAGGGTCCTTTTTCCTCTTCCTCACCAGCCTCCGTCTCCTGTGAGTGTGGTACATTTTCTCTGCAGCCACCCAAGACTTGGGTTTGGGGTCTGGGGGAATGGTGATGCCATATTCCCAACCTGTAGTGACAGCCCACACCTTAGTAAATAATTATTCTGTTTAAGCAGCCAAAAGCTGAGCACCATTGACTGGCTGTCTTTAGTTTAGTATTTGGAGTCCTGGAACCAATTTGTAGCCAGTGAGTCGGTCAGAGCAAAGTCCAAATTACCAATCTGCAAACTTGTTCAAGGTCAGTGTCTTGACAGCCAGCATTTGCAGTAGACAACTTACATGTTGCTCGCAGAACAAGTTTCTTTAGCTACTAAAGTGAAATCAGTATTAACCAAAGTATGATTGGGTACTAGGGGTCATTACTCTTTCTGCCTTGTTGAAGAAGTCTGATAATGTTCTGCTCATTGAGCTTTGACATGATTGTCATCCAGCTACCAGCAGTGATCAAAGCGTTTGGGCTTTCTTTATTTAAAAGGAACAATGATTCAGAATAATGGGAAAGGGAGTCATTTTCGTCCACACACACACACGCGCATTTCTAGCATAGAAAAAATTATACATACATACATACATACATACATACATACATACATACATACATACATACATACATATATAAATAAAACAGAAATGCAGAAATATATATAACCGCCCAGATCACTTGTAGCAGCCTGCATATGTTAGGTATCGCTGCGAACATTGGAGTGAACGCAATCATTCTAGGGCCATAATTCATTGTTAACGCTAAACTGATTATTATTAGTATTTATAAAGCGCCGACAATTTACGCAGCACTTTACTAAGGTCCCTAGCTCACATAGATACGAGGGCAATTTAGAGAGGAGTCAATTAACCTTCCAGCATGTCTTTGAAGCGTGGGAGGAGCCCGGAGGAAACCCAAGCAAGCACAGGGAGAGCTGATGAGTGGTAACGACTGTTAAGTGTTGGATAATTTTGGAGTACCAAGGTTTTCTTTAACATTGCACAGGCTTGCACAATTTTAACGCTTGACGTGTTTGGCATCTATTTACCTCGATGTGACGCCATCTTTGATATTTGCAAAACATGTTTTAACATATGTGCACAAAATTAAGAAAAAAGGCCCCAGCAGCAAAATAATTAAACCATTTCTCCAAAATTATCCAAAAACGTATAAAAAGGTTTGGGCTCTAAAAACTTCAACCACCCGAGTACTGGAGCAATTTTGGCATTTTTGCACACATTACCACAATCTGGATTTTTGGATAGAAAATTACTGTAAAATCCCAAACAAAAACCATACATACTACTTATTTTTACATGTTGCACAAATCAAATTGATATTTTTAGGAAAAAACTAAATGAATGCACACAAACACAAATTTAATGATCCCTTCTCAGACCTGAAGATTTTCTAAAAGCAATGACTATCAAATCTTCAGTAAAAAAAAAAAAAAAAAACTAAATTTCACTAAATTTGAGTGTATCGGCAATATGGGGAGTTGGACTCTACCAGGCCTTACCTATAGTTTACTTTGCCACTGTGAGAACATGGTGCATCAGTTTGAATTGTGAAGGTCTAAGTAAGCAGAGTAAGCATATTTTGCATAGACAGGTATAGAGTAGTCATGTAGCTTTGCCAGCAGTTGAAGGACTAAAGTCCAAATTTTCATTTTAATTACGTTATACTCTATCGTCAGCTCAAGGGGTCTGATAGCATAATGCAGGTGACAGGTTCTCTTTATAGGAGTCATCAGGGGTCTATTAGATCACTGTCACCTCTACTCTGTTGAAGCTTACCTAGCACAGACTAGTGTATGATCAGCTTCTCTGGCCAGAGTCAATGGGTTTTTTACCCTGAAGTGATCACAGCAGAGTTCTGGGTTTTTAAAATCAACAATGGCAGCTTCCACAAGTCAGCCCCAACAGTATGTCTGAGTGAACACACACTTTATAGTGAAATTTAAATATTTATACATCAATTTGGTATCATACCTTTCTCATCCACAGCTCTGTTAATATCAAAGCTCCAGGCATCATCCTCCCACATCCATCCTTGTGGACATTCAAACTCCCCTGGAGACGGGCTCTTCTCCCCATTCTGAAAAAAAAAAAAAGAAGAAGTACAGGAGGATTAGGGATATTTATACTACCATAAATTATATTTAACTTAAGCTACTGAGCTCTAAATACATTTGTCTTTTTGCAGAAGTGCAGATTATCCTGGTAAATATGCAGAATGGGCCTAGATCTGGAAATAAAGAAATGCTCATATTCAACATTTCATATTTTCCTGAAAAAAACCACAAACTACAAAAATCAGGTGTATTTGATTATTGCTCACTATAATACATGATGAAAGCATACACTGCATTGTACATCACTTTTAAATGACCTACAAATGTATATGATAAAATGGTGCAAAGAGCTACAAGTGCAGTGTTGCTAGGCACCCAATCAGATCAGTTTAAAGTGGAGAGAACAATAAAGATTGGTTGAGATGGGCTGCTGCAAATGTATACATTGTTATGAGCCTTGATTAAATAAGCAGGCCAGTCTTTTGGTACCACATTCGTTCCTGCGTTTCTTTCATTACTTACAGCATCTGTGTACGGCACCTCAGGTTGTTTCCATTCACCACCAGGATAGCGACTCTCATTCTGATATACCTCATCTGTGAACTCGCTGTGACCGGCGTCTGCTTCTGTCAGTAAGCTGAAAGACATCCAGCAGATCAGCAATTCAAAGACTGAAGACTAAACGAAACCTTGGCTAGCCTTAAAATATAAATCACAACATGGGGAATATTTATAAAGATTGGTGAAAATAATTGCTTTGTTGTTGCAATGCAAGTTGCATTGCATTGCCATGTTCTTTTCCAGTGTACAGAGGAATAGAAGGTGAACTTCCAAAGAAGAACTAAAATGGCAATGAAAGAAAAAAAAATATCTGTGGAACGTTTCTTTTTTTTCATCTTCCACATGCTATATTGATGGTAAACATTCCATTTATAAAGAACATGGATTTTTTGTGCATTTAGGAGATGAAAATAAACTTAACTCAAATTTATGCTCTGTAAATCCATAGCAGTGTTTTTACTTGGGTCCAAAGTTCATAGCAAATGAGAAGTTAGATTTCCCTGAGCAACTAGACCACCAAAAGCATGCCGTTTGTTTAAACTGCGGTTTCTGGATAGCGAGTGATAAATGGTACCCAACACTGGGGCAGGGACTCGCGTAAATATGAAATATGTAGTCGATAAAAATGTTGCTAATCTTTTGATAATGCTTAAAAATGAGTATGAATGAGTAAAGAGAACACCATCCTCACATCACCAGGATGAATACAGACAATGCTGTCTATACTTATACACCGTGCCACTTGCCAAGAACACAATGAGGGTTAATACCCAAACAGATGAAATGTCTGGAACTGTCCATGACCATCTTAACATTTGTAATCTTGTGCCAAATGCAGCAAATATGTTTGGAGATTTATTTACAGCCTTTCTGCTCTAGTCCACAGCGTTTACCTGTGGGCTTGTGTCTGCTGTGTATGGGTGGCAGGGAACGAAGCTTTGCACTTTTCAGCGCATCACGCTGTTTAGGTTTTTTTTCCCGTTGCACGGCAGCCGAGTTGCCTTGTGGGGACAGACTGACTTCAGGTGTGTTCTGATGCATTGCAAAAAAAATTAACATGTCTGCATTTATCTGCTAGGCATTGCAAACCCAGCTTAAAATCAGTGTTGCATTGTGAACAAGACATAGAAATGTTAATTTTTTTTTAGGGATGGACAGATATTTCGGCCGACGAAACGTATCGGCCGAAAATGGCACTCTTGGCAAAATGCCCAAAGAGCAATTCTTTTGGATGAAATAGCAGTGCATCTGTGATTTCTCTCCTCCCCGCTGGGCGCTGCTCTGTGTCCAAGCAGGGAGGAGAGAAACTGTCACATGAGGCAGAGCTGTGTGGGAGGAGGAGAGCGCTGTGAGTGGCCGGGTGTCTACCCCCCATCCCCCTCAGCTGATCGAGGATGGAGAGCGGGTACAAACACTCAGCGATCGCGGAGTGTTTGTAAATAATTGAATACATATGGTTACTGTGTCCCCAATTATGAATGGGAAGTGATCTACATCACCTCCTGTTCATTCATAACTTAAGGACTCAAGAGTATGTTTACTATATCCACAATCATGAATGAACAGGAACACGCAGTATAAAGCCTTGGTTCTCAACTGGTGGGTCGTAACCCAAAAGTGGGTTGCGACCACATGTTCAGTGGGTCACAGCATGCCTTCCACTTTTCTAGGTGAGGTCCCTCAGCCTCCACACCAAAATTTGTTACCTGGCATCAAGTGTAAGCTTGAGGCGGACTGGGCTGTGGCTATGGCAGTGAGGAAGCTCCATCCATATGTACATCTCCCTTGTGTGTCCTGTAGTGGTGCCTGGACTGGAGTGACATCACATTCTTGCTCCTGACACCTCTACAGAGCACACAAAGGAGCGGTACAAACAATGCACATATGGATGGATCTCCATCACAGCACAGCAGCCCACACTGGCCCCCAGACTGAGGATCCACTCCAGTTCTCGTATGGTAGGGAGACTGGGTGGATCTTAAAAAAATATATATATATTTTTTGGAGAGTATATGTGGGTGTGTGAATGTCTGTGGTTGTGAGAGTCATTGTGTTTTTGAGGGCCTTTTCACATTAGTAATAAATTCCACAGTTCCATTCGATGAAAGCACTGTACCATGCAATCGCACCTACCAGGCGTTCCAGGTGTGGGAGGTGCGTTACGTTGCCATTCATTTGAATGGCATCCCAAACGCACCTCCCACCCACAGTCCGATTGCAGTGCGACTTGGGTCGCGACTTAATGACAAAGGACAAATGTGGATCCTGAGGTTACACAGGTTGAGAACCACTGGTATAGAGGATTCCTGTTCATTTATAACAGGGGCTGCAGAAAAAGAGGGCTCTGTGTTCTCAATCTCTTTCTATTTTAAAAGGGAAATATCAGGGGTCTGTTTAGACCCCTAAAAGTAAAGAAATACAAATATTTAATAAAAATAAAAAACATTTTTTAAGGTTTATAAAAAAAAAAAAAAAAAAAAAAAAAAAAAGAAGAAGTAAAATATTTTTAAAAAGTAAAAAACAAACATTGTTTGTTTCAGCCTGACAATTTTTTTTATTGCGGTTTTAAAATTTTCATTTCGGTGCATCTCTAGTTTTTTTTGTGTGCCCCGGGGTGACCTGTGTTGTTCTTGTGTAGAAACATGTAGGTCACTACACATATTGTGAACAAGCCCTTACTGTACTTTTTAGCAACATTAACATGTAAAGAGAAGAAAAAAAAAAATATGAATAAAATATAAATAAATAAAAACATCGGTACACAGCCAGTCCTGTCCTTACGCCTTACTGCTTCTCTTGAAGGTTCTGTAAAATGAATAACCAGGGACAGCAAAAAAAATTTTTTACAAAATGAAAATCTACATTATTCTGCATCTGTTAGCTGTGACTTTGCTGCCATCTTGTGGCCTTGTGCAAGAAAGTCTAACTTTAATGGGATGTAGACTTTCCTTGTCCTGGCCTAAGGAGTGCCCCAGCATCAACATTTATTAAACAATTGGCCTAGAACACAAATGCATGTTATATTCATGCAAACAAGTTCCAGGAGATCAGCATTACAGCCACAACTAGAACATAGAATTTCCAGAAGATTGGAAAAGAAAGCACACCTTTGTCTCATGAGAGGTTCTCTTTAAATTCCAGAACCGTGTTCTGGTAGTCCCTCATCACTGGAAGATATTTACATCACCTATTCAAGCTGTAAACTGCTCCAGGCACTTAAAATTTTACATGTAATTTATCAAATGCTTTCCACCAGATGCTTAGAAGACCCCTGCAATTCCCACCTCCTCTCAGGGTCCACAGCCCAGTCATCCTCCCACTGCCAGCCCTTAGGCGGAAGAAAACTTTCTTGCTTGAGCTTGATTGTTCCAGTGACATCAGAAAATTTGTGACGCTTTAGTAGACCTGTGGTTCCCCATTTGCCGAACATCAGAGCTTGGTTCTCATACTGGTGAGAAGCAACACAAAAATCAAATTTTAATGCAATCAGTTTTTTTGTTACCTTTGAGAAATATAAAAATATACACACGTATACTATATCCATCTATCTATATATACACACACACACTTTCATTTCTTTGCAAGTTTGCCCACTTACAAAGAAATGAAAGGTCTATAACTTTTTATCATATGTTTATTTTAAATGGAGACAGAATAGCAACCAAAAATCCAGAAAAAAAACACGATACAAATGTTATAAATTGAGTTGCAGTTCAGTGAGTAAAATAAGTATTTGATCCCCTACTAACCAACAATAATTCTGGCTCCCACAGACTGGCTATATGGTACACAGATTAGTCCTGTCAATTTAAGAAGGTGCTCCTAACGACAACTCGTTCTGTATATTAGAAAAATGCTTAGAAAGAAAAATGCTGACTATGACCCCAAGAGCACCATCCGTACAGTCAAGCACAGAGGTGGAAACATTATGCTTTGGGCTGTTTCTCTGCTAAAAGGTACGGGCTGACTTTGCCACATTGAGGGGCCAATGGACGGGGCTATGTATTGTACAATCTTCCCTCAGCCAGAACACTGAATATGGATCGTGGATGGGTCTTTCAGCAATGACCCAAAACATACCACCAAGGCAACAAAGCAGTGGCTCAAGAAGAAGCACATTAAAGGTCACTGAGTGGCCTAGCCAGTCTCCAGACCGTCATCCTATAGAAAATGTATGGAGGTAGCTAAAATGTCGAGTTGCCAAGCGACTTTAAAGGATTGAGAGAAGGTCTGTAAAGAAGAGTGTTCCAAAATCCCTCCTGAGATGTGTGCAAACCTGGTAACCAGCTACAAGAAACATCTTACCTCTGTGCTTGCCAACAAAAATCAAAAAGTATTTAAAAAAAAAAAAAAAAAACCACACAACTTAAAAGATTTCTATTAATGTTTTTAGAGAATGGAAAATTTTGGAAAATATTCTTATCATTAAAGTTTTGTTTACTTTGTTCTCTCTCCTTTGGCAGCAGATTGACCAAACCAATCTGCTCCAATTAAGTAAATGGCAGAGTGACATTACCATTTTACAACAGCTCCAAAAGGAAGACCAGGGGTACAAAATGGTGAAGTTTAAGGCGAAAAGTGGTCAGGCATCAGTTGCCATCGCATATTTGGATCCTTTTAGCTATAAAGTATAACTAGTATACGAACTGAAAATCAAATCTTAAATAATTTTTCCAGCTAACAACATCTATGCACATACATGAACTAAGTCATTTAAAATGGTCACATTTGAAAATAAACAAGTCATTAGATCAACTGGAATTGCCGGACCATCCAAGTTTATTATACAGACATTCCTCGGTTACCGACCTACCTGCTTTGCGTTCACTCGCACTTACGCCGGACCGGCGATCAAGCTCCGACCTTGCGTGTCCGCGTCAGTATGACGTGGCCCCGGCGAAAGTGATGTCCTCCGATCTTCACTGCGGGTCCCGGTAAGTATTTTCATTGCCCGATGTACAGTACACTGTTCGGTACTGTACATCTGCAATGCTATACAGTACTGTACTAATGCAGTACAGTACTGTATAGAGTCCCTCACTTAACGACCAATTCGTTTAACGACCTGGTCATAGGAACGGAACTCGGTCGTTAAGTGAGGAATACCTGTATTTTCCCAGCCACATTGTGTTTTGCACGCTTTGCTTTGGACTTGTATTTATTTTACATTATGGAGAACACAGCAGGAGCAGCAAGAACACCCATGTAATAACAGTGCGGAGTGGAGTCAGTGGCTGACCCAGGCAAACAGACTCCACTTTCTGGCCTTTCCCACCAATGAAATACGAATAAAAAAATTATAAAAAAGGAAGATTTAGCCATCTCACCATCTCTGCACACACACTGAAAGACCCCTCAGAATAGCTGTTAAATTTCTTCTCCTCTGCGGACAGCCCCAGCCAAATGTTGACTCTCACCTGGGCAGGAAGCTTCACACCCTGGTTTTTATCCATCGGGTACTAGAATGAATTTCAGAGAATGTAGACATATGTTACAACAATGAACACTCAGACATTTTTGCTGTAAGTACAGACCAGTCTTGGAAGCAGTAAATGCTTTGAAGGAGGAAATTCATATAATGGTACACATCTTTGCCAACATATAGTGCTTTGATTGGGGTGGAAAAGTTGTAAAGATTTAGTTCTTCACCCTGAGGGCATTTCACAAATTGACTAATACTCCAATACTGAGCTGCATTTTGGTGACTTTAGCTTGATTTCTACCTGTAGGAAGATGGTCTGGGTCTTTCCGCAGTATTTTCCACAGGCTTCATCACTGGCGGTGGAGAAGAGGACTTGGTGGGCCGGGATGCGAGCACAAGCCAGCCGCTTCTCCGCTCTGATCATCCAGATGACCACATCCGGCATACTGTTTTGTGGCTGGAAGAGATTAACACTAGGCATGTTCAGATAAAAGGTCGGACTAAAAAAAGTACATCTGTTATTATAGATAATTGTAAATTCTGTCTATTGGTGCACAACACCGCGAATGCCTAGCAGTGCGCTCTTTGCAGAATACTTGTCTAATTAGAGCACTCCTGTTTAGACAGGAAAATGGCATTAGAGATGTTGTAAGGTCAAAGGTTGCATCAAAAATCCAAAGTCCATCCATTATTTAGCGTTTATGGCCAGATTAGGTCACTTAATTGTAACTCTCTAGAGAACTGCCACATCCTCTATACCAGGGGTAGCCAAACTCCGGCCCTCCAGCTGTGGTGGAACTACAAATCTCATGAGGCATTGCAAGATTCTCACAGCCACAGACATGACTCCTGGGAGATGCATCATGGAATTTGTAGTTTCACCACAGCTGGAGGGCCAGAGTTTGGCTACCCCTGCTCTATTCCCTTCACAACTATTAACAGATTGCATTACATACATCGCAGTGTGCAAATTTCTAATCTCTCAGAACGGTCACATTTATTGTCTGCATGTTTCCATTTAGACACATTCGGTATTTTAGGACATACTCTGTGAAACTACCTCTAACATTATGGGGGAGTGTGTTTTGGAGGAAGTTAGGTTGTCACAATACAATCAAAAGAGGCTCAAACTAGTTTAATACTAGCCCAAACCCCACTTATACTGTGGGGGGAATTTATCAAAGCAATTGAGACAGTTTTAGCCTGTTAGATAATTTTATTTTCATGTGCAAATCTGTCTTTTAACATGTGCCCCTGTTTTGACCTGAACTTGCACTACTTTTTCAACTGCACGTTTTTTGCACCGGTTTTCATCTGCACTTGTTCGGTGGCTGTATGAAACTGGAGCATCACCTACGAAACCAATCACAACTTAAGCAGTCCCCATGACCACTTCAAGAAGCGACAGTTAAGCTTTTTGCCTGAAGTTACAAGTCTTCTTTCCTGGAGTCTATTAAACCTCTTTTAATCAACATTACACTAGCTTCATAAATCTGGTGCAAATATATTCCGTGCAAATTCAAACACTCGCAAATGCTATGATAAATTCCCCCCTGTATGTTTCTTCATGACAGAATTGCATGTGTGTTTATTACATTTCTGGAAACTGTTTTAGAAGTCGTAGATGGACTCCTACATAATGGTGCCACCCTCTTCATTTAGGTCACTTAGGAGGTAGCTTGTATAGGTTGAGCCAGCATTTCCAAAAAACTCAATAGTATTGCACACAACATACTGACCTCCTCAGATATCTGATTCAGTCTCTCCAGCCAGTCCTCTATCTCTACAAGTGTTGCTTTTACATCAGTGGCTTCGGCCCTCATCTTGACTGCGGCCTCCCCGATCATCTTTAGAGACATCTGTCTGAGCTTATGTAGCTGAATGTCCAGCATTGTGACATTAGATTTCCCTTCCAGAGAGGGAAAGGGTTTCCTAAACAGTGGCCAACCACAGTGAAAATCACATATATGCTCTAACAGCTAAACAAAAACAAAATGTGTAAAAAATGAATTAAAAACATAACATTTAGTTTCAGGCTTTTCCCAAAACAATTAAACATGATTCTATACATCTACAAAAGTATGTAAAATGAGACCTCATACCACCTGGAACCGCAAAAGCTTGCATAAGGAATAACCTCCCTAATAAAATTAGATTACTTTACTGTCCTGCCTTCGATGAACCACGCATCCTGTCCTTTGCACAAGCAGTGTCACCAGCATGGTAGAGTAGATGATAAGTGATAGAAAGTACTCCTAGGTGACAACATCCAAGCCTTGGTCAGATTGAGGAGGGAAACAGAAAAGTGGTGAATGGGAAATTAAATACTTAAACTAGCAGCTACAGGATTGTCATACAAAAGCAAAGCCATTTTGCATTCATATATTGATTACTATGATTATGAATTATATGAATAATAATTCACAATTATTTGGTTTTCACTGATTTTATCATTTGATCATGTACTCTACTAATAGCTTATTTCACTCTCCCCATTTCAGATTGTGATCATATAAATGATATGCAACAATAATTATATTTTGTGCCATCAGTCATGGAGGCAATGCTTAGCTCCCGAAATGTGTTGGGCTTTGTTTACAGTTTTAATCTGATATTACAATGGAATAAAATTTGCGCCTGGACTAACACAGCATGGCACACCAATTCAAGATTTAGTCTTTCCAGTCACAGCTCTAGGTGACAATGAAAGCCCTTTGGTGTGCAGACATTTTCTATCTATATTTATTACACATACACTCTCTACACTACTGGGTTGTAATAAGAAAAGTTTCAGGGATTCAGTGCCCCCATTCACTCCCTTTAATCCTAACTGTACAAAAAGTATTTTTTTCCCACCTCTCTACCTCCCATTCACCTCTAATCCATCCAAATAGGCTTTGGTATCCTCGCACCTTGTGAAGTCCGATATACTCACCAAACTTTCCCCTCTAGGTCCATCACCATTTCTGGGTGGGAGGGCCACAAATTCAGTGGCATGATGGCGACTGAGACAGCCAGTTCCGTTTACTCCCCTCTGTTGATGTCGGTCCTCTTCTGGATCCTTAGAGGACCCTGACCAATGGACATCAAATAGCAAGTCTCCGTGTCATGCAGGTGTTGACGTGGACACTAAAAGAATAACCCTTGCAGGAGGTAACTAGAAGAGGTGAAGAGCCAGGGGTGCGACATCACTTGACTGCAGCTTAAGGGAAGTAGCAAAGGGCTTTTAAGATAGGGATTCGTGTATCCAGTGATCAGATAGTGGTGCATGGGAGTGAGGGGTAGACATGTGCTATTCGTTTCGTTACGAATCGAAATTCGTACGAATTTTCCTGAAATTCGTAAATTCAGGAAGCATCCGAAATCCGAATTGCAGTTTCCGAATTATATCCGAAATACGAAATTCCGTTAACGAATTTCGGATCCGAATTTCTTTGAAACGGGAACTAATATTACCCCTGTAAATGAGGTTGAACAACATGACAAGATTTTTTTTTTTATCCGAAATACGGATCCGCTGCTGCTGAGGGTTGCATTACAATACACAGGCAGGAAATACGAAATTCCGTTGACGGAATTTCGTTCCATTACGAACATTCGTTATGATGAAGTTAAAAAGCAAAATATATATTTGTTAATATTGGAGTTGAGGAGTTGTTTTTTTTATTCGAAATCCGTTAACAGAATTCGTATTTCGTTTGGTTGACCAATCAGAGGTTTTCTCTTCTGCTGCTGCGAGTTGCATTACAATACAGGCAGGAAATACGAAATTCCGTTGACGGAATTTCGTTCAGTTACAAACATTTGTTATATTGAAGTTAAAAAGCAAAATACCTTTGTTAATATATTGGAGTTGAGTTTTTTTTTTTTATCCGAAATGCGAAATTCGGATCCAAAATCCGTTAACTGAATTCCGTATTTCGGATAAAAAAACAAACAAAAACAAACTACCATCGACTCCAATATTAACAAAGGTATTTTGCTTTTAACTTCAATTTAACGAATGTGCGTAACGGGACGAAAATCAGTTAACGGAATTTCGTATTTCCTGCCTGTATTGTAATGCAACTCTCAGCAGAAGAGAAAACCTCTGATTGGTCAACCAAACGAAATACAAATTCTGTTAACGGATTTCGGATCCGAATTTCGGATTAAAAAAAAAAAACTCATCATCAACTCCAATATTAACAAAAAGGTATTTTGCTTTTGGACTTCATCATAACGAATGTTCGTAAAGTTACGAAAATGTGCCGAAACTAACGAAAATTCGTATTTCGTACGAATCCAAATTGAGTTTCGGACACGAATTACGAAATAACTGATATTCCGAAACGGAACGAATATGTTGACGGCGCACAAGTCTAGTGAGGGGTGCACAGGAGATGAAATTTATTCTGCAGTTAGGCTTTAAGCAGTAAACCCTGGCAGAAGTGCTAATCTCTCACCACTACCATTACTAGGGATGCACCGATACTTTTCAGATACCAGTGCCGATACTTGGCCACTTGGCCATTTTCATGAGAACTACCAGGGTTGCAGTGGTTGCAGCTGGGACCTAGCTCTGGCGCTCCACCACTGTCCTGAAATCATTAGTCGATATTGTTTTAGAAGAACTGTCACATGACAATAAACAAAAGTGTATCAGTATGTGTACTTGCAAAAATGGTATCGGTGTGTCCCTTTATTTATATTTATAAAAACAAAATCACACATTAAAAGAGAGGTGTACAAATCCCAGGAGCTCCGTGTGCTCCTTACAAAGGACAGCTGCCTCCTAACTTTTAAATTTCTCTAATCTAGGAGCTGGAAAAAGGATCTGTACATGTACCAAGTACGGTACTTGGTATCGGTGCATCCCTATTACTTTAAATACACTTTAAGCAGTTTTATAGTGGAACTACATCCATAATCTAGGTGTACAGATAGATACACAAACATTCATAATGTGCATGCACCAAGCATCATTAGCCAAAATATTTTTATAATCAAAAAAAGTGAGAGATACATACATAGTGTCTTCTATCAGCTGATCAATTAATCTTAGCCATATCTCTGCCAGCCGGGTATCAGGAACCTTAGCCTGGATTGCCGATTTCAAGGTGGCAATGTTGGATTGCTGCAAACAGAAATTTAAAATATTGAAAATCAGGTGGCAGTGTAGGAAGACCAAATTAAAAATAAATTTAAACCTGCAAGAATTTTACATGTTCATTCAGCTGGTCCACGTAAAGCAGTTTTCATATTACATATACAGTGGGGCAAAAAAGTATTTAGTCAGCCACCAATTGTGCAAGTTCTCCCACTTAAAAAGATGAGGCCTGTAATTGGCATCATGGGTAGACCTCAACTATGACTGACAAAATGAGAAAACAAATCCAGACAAATCACATTGGCTGATTTGGAACAAATTTGCAAATTATGGTGGAAAATAAGTATTTGGCCAATATCAAAAGGTCATCTCAATACTTTGTTATATATCCTTTGTTGGCAATGACAGAGGTCAAACACACCATAGCGGAGTTTGGAGTGTGACTGTTTGAACTTGTTATCAGGACACCTGTCCACAACCTCAAACAGGTGCCATTGATACAGGTAATGAGTGCAGGACAGAGCAGCCTCTTAAAGAAGGTACAGGTCTGTGAGAGCCAGAACTCTTGCTTGTTTGTAGGTGAACAAATACTTATTTTCCACCATAATTTGCAAATAAATTTGTTCCAAATCAGCCAATGTGATTTGTCTGGATTTGTTTTCTCATTTTGTCTCTCATAGTTGAGGTCTACCTATGATGCCAATTACAGGCCTCTCATCTTTTTAAGTGGGAGAACTTGCACAATTGGTGGCTGACTAAATACTTTTTTGCCCCACTGTATTAGTAGAAAATAGGAAGGCCATTGCAGATTGAAAAGCAGATCAATGACACAAAATATTATTTTAGACCGTAATCTTACCAGACGTTCTGTCATAGCCAGCAAAATGTTGACAACATCTAGACGATGACTAATATCTTCCCAGTTACATGTCATCGTTACTACAGGTTTAGTGGCAGACCATGGGAGATAGTAATAGAGGTTACCTGCAAGTGTACAGAAGTTATCTTTCAGACGTTCACAGAATGACTGAATTTACAGCAATATAAAAGAGAAATGGTAAAGGCTCTCTTTAAATCATTTAGGGTCTGCACCGATGGAATCAGTTTGGCATCAATTTAAAATGCTCCTGAGATCATTTAGAACTTAGACAGGTGCATTTGACCTGCAGTTGACCTTCTGACCTGCCTCAAGAGCATTTTGCATTACCATAGACTTGTATGGGAATGCAAAACCCATCTGAGGTGAACAAAAGCCCTTAGACACCTTAAATCATGTTTAGATGTTTCAACATGACAAATATATTTAAGAAAAAAGTAATTAGGTTTAAACAACATTGTTAACCATGAAAATGATTTAATGGAAAAAAAAAAGTTTCAGTGAACAAACTCATCTTGTTTTTTCGGGTTGCTATGTTATGACCACAACAGGCACATTGTTAGGATGCAGAGCGCCTCCAGGTGGCGCTGGAGCCGAGCCCTGCAGTTCCTGGGCTCACCTGCAGGATTCTCCAGGCAGCCAGGGGCTGCTAGGTGCCAGACCACCACTGGGTGGGGCTGGTACCTGCAGCTCCAGTTCTCACCTGTGGGTGTCTCCCAGCTGCCAGGAATCAGCCCATTAGGTAATACTCCTGGGAGAGTATTTAACCTCTTGCCGTCCGCAGTAAAAAAACGGACGGACGGCACTGCAGCATCTGCGGGTATTGTAAAGTAGCCACAGCTCCAAGCTCACTCCTGTGATAGATTATAACTTCAATACAAATTCTAAAACTAAAAGTGAGAGTGTAGTCAATCACAGGAGCAAGCTTGGAGTGGTGGCTACTTTACAACACACACAGGTACCATGGAGAACAAAAGTAGCCCCCCTCCTGAAGGAAGGACAGTGTTGGTACCAATTCAGAGAGGATTTGAGGATCTACAGCTGAGTGTCATTTTAACATAAAATATTAGTGTCAAAGAAAGCACTAAAAGGAAGGAAAAGGTTTTTATTATGTAATGAGTGTTCATGATGCCCGTTCAAGACAACCAGATACTGGCCCTGATAAACTTATTAATGTTGAACTACAAAAAAAATAGGTGTACATAAATCCCCCCAAAAATGCTACTTCTTAGTATTCAGCTTACTCTGACTTGTTATGCAACACAGATTTTTTAGAGTCAGAACAAATGGGTTGCATGAGGTGCAGACCGCATATTGTTCCTCATGCAGATCTACAAGATACTGCATAAGAGTTTTGCTACAATGTAAATTAAAAGTCCATGCAACTGAGGATTTTTATGTAGGTTTCTGGCTGTGTTTTGTTCAAAACATCTCATTAAGTACATATGTAAATTTAAATTTTATTTGATTAATCTGCACTCAAATGTAGAATGTTTGACTTTTAGCACTTTATGATTTAGTATTACATGCATGAAAAGCGTTACTGTGCCTTACAACCCTCCTAATGTACCGCTGCTTGTTGGTCAGCATTTATAAGATGCATTTACAGTAAGTTGTAGAAGAGATGGCATGCTTTTAGCATTCTTAAAGGATGCATGTTCTCACAGAAAATAAAAATGCACCTTCTGCCTGCAAATATATATATTATATAAAAAAATTACCATCAAATACTGCGCGGCTGTACTGAGTTGTTGATGCCAGGGGTTTACAAGTGCTATCAAATTTGTTGCCGTAGTTTCCAATGCTGACTTCGAATTGTATGGCTTCACCGATATCTTGTAGCATGGAGGCGGCATGGAAGACAGCACACAAGCTAAACTTCCGGCGGCGCTGATATTTCTAGAAAAACCAAAGTGGACTTTGACTCAGAGATCAGGAACTTTCATTCACATTATTACATTACAAACAGCAGGGATTTTTCCCCATAATTGATTCACAATCAGCTACTTTCAGATGCTGGATATGGAATAAACAGGATGGGGACTATAGTATCGTCATAGAATCCATGTTTTTGTCCATATATGTGGCTTCCGCAATGGCCTGTTGCTGTGCTGGACCACAGCGAGATGATTGGCTAACATGAATATAAGCAAAAGGAGCGGGAGGACCAGGTGATCATACATAGTGTTTAGGGTTAGCTTTAAAGCCATATGGGACAATAAAATTCACAACTGATATTTTCCCTAAACTGAGAAATATGTAGGCTGCCGTTGCTGGCCACCTCCTGAAAAGGCTAGCTGCAGGCATTGCAGAGGAATTCTTCCTCAAAGTTCACAAGTGAAACACTGAGGTTGTCCACGTTGGTTCTCCCAGCATAGTGTTCCACCTTCCAGAACACATTTACAATAGACATTAGAAAGGATGGTGAGTTACTGCTAAGAGGAGGGAGCAGGGTGAACTGAAGTGCTGAGAGAGACTTCAACAATTTTAGTCCTTCAAACTTTGATTAATTCCTCCACAGCTACAGTAAATGCTTGTTCTAGAGCCGATTTACAGCATATAAAAAAATATGCAAACATTGCCATAGCCTAGCCTTAATTTTAACCAACTTAGTCAGCATGAAAGACAGGAAATAAGTATCTTCAAGTGGAAGTCAGCAATGCCACCTATATACAAATCTCAGTAAAGGTTTTCTTTCATAGGAGCATGGAGAAGAGTGATGAACAGGAGGTAGCTACATGGGAATTTTTCTGGAAGCTGAAGGCACTGTCCCAGGTTTGGGTGTCTACGAATGTAATCTAAATGCAGTTCATTGCTACGATGGTGCAGGTCAGCAAAGGACAAAGATTGGTAGAAAAAAGCCAGAAGAAATGTAGAACAGCTTAGTCCAGCATTACCTCAACAACCAAAACATCATCACTGGGGATATCCTCCAACTTTTTACCAGGAGTGCCATCAAGCTTGGTTACCAGCTCTACAAGGAGTCTTCCTCGGTAAGATACACCTTCTCCCTATATGATCAAGAACAGGATTTGTAGTAAAACAGAGCTATCACAGAATAGTTAGCTGCAGAAAGTATACCTTAAAGAAAATGTTTAGCCATTTTTAAAGTTTTGGATAGAAGGGTTAAACAAATGTCATGTTTTACTTCTGCGTTTTGCCTGGGGGGTATCCACCGAGACAGAAACTGAGGGGAAATCCAAAATGTTCACTTGAATGGTACATGATGGGAAATCTTCCAATAGAAAGGTTGTGGTGAAAACCATCAAAGAAGAAATTTCCCCTAACGTTTGACCGATTCCCTCTCACTTCCTATTGCATCTCTGGGACAGTAAGTAAAAGGGAAAAGCTCCCCAGTGAAAACTTAGAGAGGGGAACTAACCCTTGCCTATTTCTAAAATAAAAAGTTTTGGCTTCAGATGCACATACAGGGTCTCATTCATATAAATTGGAGTAAAATAAGCTGGAGCAGCTGGATTGGCCTGAAAGCTGGCTCCATGCTACCACATCACCAGGTGACTAGGAAGCATGGAGCCGGCTTCCCGGCCAATCAGGCTTCCTGGTTGGCCGGGAAACCAGCTCCATGCTCCCTGGTGAAGAGGTAAGCTCCGGTATCGGGATAGGCATCAGGAGCATTTGGGAGAGTATCAGTACAGCACTAATTGCAATGTCAATGCCAAGTACGTTGACTTGACATTGAACCTTCTGATTTCATTCCGATCCGTTTTTAATCTTTCTTTTTTTTTTGGCAAGTTGTATGTGAAGTAACATGGCCCGAGTGACATACATCACTGCATTGGCTTGTGAAGTGTTGCTCGCAATTTCGAGCATGGCCGAGTGACATACATCACTGCATTGGCTTGTGAAGTGTTGCTCGCTTTCATCGCAATGCAGTGGGTTTTTGACCCACTGCATTGCGATGCTCTTTTTTTTTTCAAGCTCTGCTTTATTTCAGTGCAACTAGTGACATTGCAACACTACGGTGTGAACAGTCCCCATTTACACCCAATAGTTTTTCGTTGCCCTTGCGTTAATCTGTTAAAACGGAAGGTAATGCAACGGATCCAGTGTGAATGAGGCCCAAGACTTCTATTCAGAGACAGCCATTGTGGCAGAGGGCTCAGAGGCTGTGGGCAGACCAAAACCATTGAGTCAGCATTAAAGTGACATTAAAAGCTTTCCTGCTGAAAAAAAATCTGTAGGAAAAGAAACAATTAAGCTTTTCTTTGTAGAGAAAAAAACATCCATCCTTTGAGGACAGTAGAAAAAAACCTGAAGCATGCTGGGAGGGGTTATACTGGTTGTTTGCCAATGTCCAAATCCTTCTTATAGGTGGCAGTATAACCCAATTGCCTCTAAATTCTATGTTCCTCAATGAAGAAAGAAATAAGGTACTCAAAACTACCAATTATCATTCACCTATCATTCTATGAAAAAATTAAAGTAATAACTAGTTCAATAATAATAATAATAATGCAAAACCCCAGTGTTTTCAAAACTGAGATACATTTTTCAGTTATAAAATCACAAATTGAATAATGGCTATTACAGAATATTAACAGTTGACCCTACCTGGCAGCTTTCCTACCTGAAAGTCTGGAATACATATTCTGCTACTGATCCCTAGGAGAATAATTTCTTAATTTTTACCATTTTACCCCATCTTTATATCACCGATGTACATGTTACATGTAAATAAAACATTTTAAAGTACCTTGCCATAGTTGAGATCGTCAAAAGGGTCAGGGAACCCAGTAAATTCTCTTGGACTCCCGTAGAGATTCACATAACAAGGACCAAAGGTGGGTAAAAACCCAGTCTCCTTTTCACTCATTCCTGATTGAATGAAATGTAGAATGATTAACATGAACAAACACCAATGGAAATCATAGATACAGGTTGCTCGTATATGATGTCTAGAGAGAATGCTGGAGCACATTTGAAAATATGTATTAAATCTTCCTTCAGCAGTCAATTTGTCATTTGTCTCACTTCCTCAGCTTGGGTTTATCCAGAAAACCTTTTAAACTTTCCAGGCCAAAAAAGGTAATTGTTGCCTAGATCAGTGTTTCTCAAAACGTTTTTCACTCACGGTACCCTTTAAAAGTATGCAAAATTTTGACACCGGAGTCCCCCCTTTACATCAGATCCCCTTTTTACATCAGTATCCCCCTGCAAATCAGAGTCATTACTCCCTCCTTCAGATCAGATTCCTGCTATCAGGAGCCGCAGCAGCAGGGTCAAGGGTGGGAGGTGGCGCAGGCCAGGACAGAGGCAAACTTTTGATCTCTTCTGAATGGATCCCACCCTCCCTGGATTAGTGTCATAATTTTCCATGGTACTGCTGGCCAGCTTGCACCATGGATCGGCATTATGTTGCATGAAAATTGCAAGGCACCGCGGTCCAGATTACATGAGAACTATGAGGCGAGTTCTTTTCACTCACCTCATAGTTCTAGCCGACCTGTGACAGAGTCACAGGTCGGCTCAGTAGATCGAGAAGTGAGCGAACACATACCGACTTTTGCTCACCTCTCGACCCTGTCACAGCTCTGTCGTGACAGGGGAGGGGCTGGATTACCCCCTCCCCGCTCTGATCCGCTAGCGCTAACTGGCGGATCGGACGGGGGAGGGGGCGGGTACAGCTGGCTCTGCCTCTGGATAGGCAGAGCCAGCTGTCACTCACGCAGCTGGGCGGATCCAGAAATAATTGTCGGGATCCGCTTCAGCGTCTCAGTATACCGTGAGCAGTAGCTCATATTCCACATAGCCGACATGGCAATCACATGATTAGGAACCACACTGATTGGTTCCTGATCATCAGTGGAGATCAAGAGGTGTCAGTGACAGTATGGGTCCAAAGCATGTTCTTAGCTGAAAAAGGGAATGTAGGTTAACATTCACTTAGAACAGGGCTCCGTATTGAGAAACATGAATCCACAGACCCAAGGTAGGAAGAGGTTACAGAAAAATGCTTTCAGGACAAAATGTCAAATATTTAAATGAGAAAACGTTTGTACATAGATTAAAAAACATTCATATAAGAGCAACCTGTATTTTGGGAAAAGTCTGTTTTATTCTGTATCCTTTTAGTTTGACTTGCGTTACATTTTCTCTGCAAAACAGATACAGAATAAAATAGCGCAGGTAATCTATCTTTCAAAATTAGCAAAAAATTAGTATTTTTAATATTTAGCTTTTTCTGATCGAGTGGTTTGTATGTCACTCAAGTGCAATCAAGTTCATTCTTATATGCAAGGACATTGGGCTTGCCTGTGCCTGCCTTGGATGAGTCCATGACACATCATTGGTTCTTGAATTAAAACATGGAATACACTGCACACGGGTAGTAAATAATTAGCAATAAACAGCAGACACATCAAGGCAAAAAAGATTTGTAGATAGATTTATTCCATTGATTGGTTTGATAATGATTTTGATTATGCAGCAATTGATAATTTTCCAGTAGCATAATAATTATAAATATGATGTGATATTACCAAGTCAGGGTAAATCAAGATGTCTGGTTTTATGAAGGAAGAAATGAGTTTACATTTTGCAGATGTCCGACTTGTAATATGGAAAATTCTGCTCCTGCTGGGCCATGCCACTCTAACTCCCCTTTTAACAGCCTTCTTAGTTAGAAGTACAAAGAAACAATGCAGCTAAATTAGTGTGCGTCACACATAGCAGCCAATGAGATTTCAGCCTTCACATTTCGGATTCAAATTATACATTAAAAGGAATATTAATGGGCTGCTCTTGGCAACAGACTCCATCATCCAGGCTTTTGCTGGATATCTAAACCATTAATCCGACAAATGCCCTCAGCCCTGTTCTTAACGTATGACTTAAACTAAGTTTAACCGCATTCAGCAGGTTATAAATCTACAGGACCACAAAATTAGCAGCTTAACACAATATACATTCCATTTTTTAGATATTCCTAAAGGAGACCTGTACTGATATAAGGATGCATGTCATTACTGCTGACCCCCTTGTTAAATTATTTGCCTGGCTGCCTCTGGTCTTAAAGAGGAACTTTACCCATATTTTCAAAACAACAAAAGGCACCTTTAGAAATGTTTAGTAATCACAATCTACAAACCGATACTTCTAGATAATTGCCGGCTTTGTGTTCTTTGCACAACTTATTTTCTCTTCTTCCCCATTCTTCTGACAGTGGTCATTTTAACTAAGGGCAGGCTACTAGATCTTCCATTACTTCCTGGAACTCTGGCACATGTGACTAGGACATGTGACCATGCACATCCTCTCAGGGGAGGAAAATACCTTTCCCGGAGATCTCAGATGAGATTTCCCAGCAATGCTCTAATGTAACCTTCCTGGGATGCAATGCTTGGGCACATTATATCATTTGTGCCAAAGTGAACCAGGAAGTGGAAAAAAAAATTGGAAGTACTATTAACATTTGGGCTGTTACTGATTAAAATGTTCGTGTTGGATTAATCAAAAAAATGTTTAATCAATTATAAGGCACATACAGAATTCTTGTCTAAGCAACAATGGTAATGGGGACAGGGCCACACAAAGAAATTTAAAACAAAAAGGTAAAAATCTGCAGGTATTGATAAAGACTTAAGCTTGAATTCCACTCAGAGCTATTGAAAAGATTTCAAAACTTCCATCTCTGTAAGGAAAGTCTACAATATCAATAGAAGTCTTTTTTTATGCCTGGAAGATGGCAAGCTGGTATAAATTAGTCAAAGCTTCATTACTCCATATTATGGAACAATGTGTTTGTTTACATCCCACACTGAAGTCCTCTGTCTGCACAATAGGCCCCCAAGCAGACTGTGTGGTGGGGTTGGGATTGTGAACATATGCCTCTTCGGCCAATAAGATCTGCTGCTGGATTTCCTCCTTTCCCTCATTAGTCTCTCGTCGGCTAACGATGGGAAGGGGGGGAGGTGTCCGGTGACGTCACGGACATAGACGTCAGACGTCACCGGACTGCTCACCCTTCCCTTCGTTAGCCGACGGCGCCACTTGGGGAAGGGTGAGCTAGCTAATGAATGAAATATGATTTTATATCACCATGGACAGCTGTATGCTGATGTGAGCTTTAGTCAAAGGGGGTAAAGGTCCACTTTAATACTTTCTTAGGCACTTGCTTAAAACAAACATGGAGACAGTATGGTCTGAAACACAGAACCACTGATCAGCATACCTGTGCATAGCGACTAAGAGAATGAAAGCCTTTGGATCAACATAACAGCCAGGCAACTTTTTTCAAAAGAGGACATCAACAATGGTAGCCTACATAATTAGGCAATAGTAATTGCTTTCTACGCGTTTTATTTTTTAAACATAATTTTACAAGCAATGTCTTGGCGTCTTCTCTTCACCTACGAAGATACCATATTGTCTGATAGTGTTATAGTAACAATATATACAGAACAGTGCTGTATATTGGGCCATAGCAACTAAATCTGCTTTCAATAATTTGTCTACTTTCAGCTGCTACAAATGAATATGTGATTGTAGATGATTACTGGGGTACAGAGATAACAATGTGACTGTAGGCATGATTAACTGTACATCATTCATATTTGCATTATGCATCTAAATGCGTCTCCATATTAGCCGGACATACTGCACTATTTACATTTAGCAGAACGCCATGGTTGGTAGTATGGATGAAAAAAATCTATTTATGTTGTGTGGAAATCAAAAGCATTATGGAAAATGTTAGATCAGAATAAATCACTCATTAGTACTAGGGAATTAGTACTTGACATTTTTAAGTATGAGCTTTGAAAGGCAACATGCAAAGCATACAAGACTGAATCTGTTTGTAGACCTAAATAATAATAATTTCAATGAGCTATGTTATATTTTGACCGTTAGAGATCCACTATGAAGAAAATACTGTTCACAAATGAAACCAATTTAGAGACATTTCAGGCATAATAGCTAACCCCCCACTGCAAATTACACAGGAGATGAAGACACAATATAAACATGACAATGATCTAACTTGTCTATTCTATCAAGACCAAAAAATATGGTTGGGCATGAGTTCCACCAGAATGGATATTTCACTTTCATAAATGCTGAAGAATAAAATTAGCTTTTTCTGTCTCTTTAAGACCAAAAGGGGTGATGAGTCCATTGCACTACAGCCAATGGATTCATTACAGGGTGTATAACACAACCTTAGCTATGAGAGATCTCTGCAGATGCAAAGTGCCATGCAGTGGCAATTATTCACTGCTAGATTTTTACTTCCTTTTAATGTGCTCTTACCCCTTCCTTTCTTTAATCAACTTATGTGCTTTAAAAAATCTGTTCTACCATACTACCCCAGAGGCCACCAAAGTGCCACATAAATGAGGCAACCAAAACTAAGCAGAGACGCCATCTTCTGTAGCAAAGGTGAGAGAGTAAAACACATCTAACGGGAGCACTAAACTAAATTTGGCAAAGGGCAGCAGAAAGCCCAGGGCTGGTACTGATGTACGACAAATCTGAATTCTCCCCATTATTACAGTCCATTGAGCAAGACCTGCCAAAAAAGTTTAAAAATTAAATAAACCTATGAATAAGTACACTCAAAGTGAACTACCGATTCACCAGCTACTATGCACTAAGCTGGCCACACACTTTCCGATCTGATGGAACAGTCTCCGTAAAATCTACTTTAATCTACCAGCAATTATCTAATGAGAGGGCCAAACTAAACAGTCCATTCCATGTGTATCCAGTCAGGCAGGCCCTTGTACTACTTGGTTGTTGGTAGATCTAAAAAGGAGATTGTACAATCACATTGCAATGTATGCAACCAGCCTCTAAAGAATGCCATTCAAAAATGAGGCCAAACAAGGTTCTTTATAGTGGAGCTCAAATCATAAAATGTTACTACAAAAGGAGATATTGTATTGTATTGTTGCCTGTAGCAAACCAATCAGGTGTTCACTTAGTTTCTAGCATCACTGGAATCAGATTGGATGCCATGTGTAGCACCTTCTGGCTTTGCCACTGTATACAAGACAAACACAGATTTGACCTATGTAGGACTACAATGATCCAGTCTGTTTGAAATGTTTTGCGGAAATATGAAAAGGAACACAAGCAACTATAAGCAGTAGGATTTATGCGGTCCCAGTGCCAAAACTGTTTTCCATGTACAAGAAAGAAATGAAGAAATTAATTCATGGCAACCAATCTCTCAATATTCTGACTGGTCTAAACCAATGAAAGATGTTATCGAATTTATTGTCATGGTTAACTGCTCATCACTGCTCTTATGTTAGACAATTTTTCCCCCCCTCCAGACTCCCCTACAGTTTGGGCAGTGGGGTAGGAAATCAAATCACACCACAATATACACCTTCCAATGCTGAAGACCCAACTCCCGTTGTGTCACAGTCTATATTGCAAAAAGAAAACAGTTAACATTTTATGATGTACAACAATAACAGTATAGTAAACCCCAAAAATATTTGCAATTTCTACCAATAGAGATTAAATGAGACTATGAAAAAGATAAATTTACTAAAAAACAGAAGGAAAAACATTATCTATCAAGTTATCAAAAACACAATGTTCTAAATTAAAAACCCAGATCATGCTACATACAAATAAGAAAACTAAAAATAAACATCGGTAAAGCAACAAGCAAAGAAACATCCTACACTTCTGTCAAGTACCGGCGCTGAATAGCTACAAAACAAAAACATTTTCCGACTTTATAGTAAAAATATGAAGTCAAGTGTTCTGAAGAACTGGGTTTCTAACTCCGGTCTTCATGCATTAAAAAAAAAAACAGTAAAAAGTAGTAATTATTACAAAAGAGCTCATAGAGAATCTTTAAATAAAGCAAGAACCAAGCTAGTTTCGGGGATCTGAGATTGAATCTATTCAGCTTGGATTATAAAAGGAAGTTCTTACCCATGAAAACAAAATGTTGGGAAAATGTTAGCTTTCATCACTGCCTTCCCTAGAAAGCTTTGGGGCAGATTCCGCAAGACTGAACTTTAGGCCCACCCAGTGGCGTACCGAGGCTGGGTGTCAGCCTGGGGGCGGGGACCGGGTGACACCCCACCATGACGTCATCGCACATGCGCTGTGGTCTTTTTGATAAGGTATGCCACCGGGTCCCCCTCCTCTCTCCTGACACTGTCCGGCTCTCGGTCCATGACCGAGTGCCCGAATTTTCATAAGGGGCGACACCAAAATGATTGCCAGTCATTTTGGTGTCACTTCTCCAATGGTGGCACCCGGGTGTGGGCCGCACCCCCCTTGCGACGCCACTGGGCCCAGCATTGCTTAACAAAACAACGCTAAACTATTCAGGAGGTCAATTATTCCAAGTCTTTACTGTACAAAAAGACTTAAAGGGTTATTCACAAAAAAGGGTGAAGAGTTTGGAGAAGGCAGGAGAAGTTAACAATCTAGGCCAAAATAGCCGATTTGGAAAAATTCTTCAATTCAGTTCACTTTTCAGTTCAGCTATGTTGTCCTAGATAGTTCACTTCACCAAACGCTTCGCGCTTATGTGAATAACCCTTTTAGAATTAGTGACCGCTGAATAGCTTAGTGTTTTGACAAGCAATGCTGGACCCAAAGCAACCTTGGATGGTTGAAGTTGAAGGGTAGTCTGATGACATCAAGCAAGAAAGTCTAAAGCATCTGGAAGGCTTAGGTAAGGTCTGACCAGATTTCTCGCTTTCTAATATACACTGAGTGGACAGATTATGACCACCCCATCAGTACTTCGTTGGGCCACCTTTTGCCTTCAATACTGCAGTGATTCTTCTTGGCATTGACTCCACGAGATGTTGAAAGGGTATGCGAGGAATCTGACACCATGCCTGATCAATAGCACTGCCAAATTCTGTGAGATTTGATTGTTGTGGAACCAGCTGCCTGATGGCAACGTCAGGTGGTCATAATTATCTGGCCACTCAGTGTATATATAAATATTTTTTTTATTATATATTATTTATTTAAAGTGAGTCTGCTAAAAAAGTTGGCAAAGGGAGATCAGGTTCCTGCAAAGTAGGGGCCACTCATAGTAGAGGAAATACATTTCTCACCTTCCAATTCCCCACCAGAAGCTGCAATTTTCGACAAGCTCAAAATACTCGTTCCAACAGCATCATTTTTTGTGAGTCTGTCCCTGCACAAAGCATTTAATAAACCAGTAAAGTTAAAGTAGTATGACATTATAGTTTGCACTTTATACCTAAATGAGAATTGTAATGACCCAGTGTATAGGAATTTAGGCACAATCAGGTCAATGAGTCCTGTACAATTTTTTCTGTGGTGCAGGGCTGCCAATTCAGAAACAGAGTAATTATTTACTAAATAAGAGTTGTGTGCCCAGACTATGTACTCGAATGTGTAAAAAATAGGTCAAGGCAACTGGACTTGCAGTATTTTTCTTGGACGTTTCACTGGTCATCCAACCAGCTTTCTCAATTCTGAAATGTCAAGAAAAATACAGCAAGTCCAGTTACCTTGACCTATTTTTTACAGATATACCATGAGCTGGATGAATGAGAACCTTCACAGACATATGTACTCTAAAGTTTTTACCTATTCTGAACAAGCAGTAAACACAATTTAAAACAATACCTATATAGATGATTGGGGAGAAAATCATCTCCACAGTTCACAACAGAGGCACTGAAATCTTGGCACTTTTCCTATTTTCTATGGCACCAGAATCTTGGCAGACTGATAGCCTTCTAATTTAAACACACGTTCAATATTTTTAAGCTATAAAACAACTGAAACCCAACTTTAGAGTCTTTGTTAAGGATCTAGGAGAATGCATAACTTCAGATTACAAGCAGCTAGCGAGGTCAGAGATGGCTTGTTGTATAGTTCTTTTCTTGCTAAAGTATGTAAATAACAACTAATGCATATAATTTAAAGAGGCACTACAACCTCTAATCCTTTACAGCCAAAGAAGGTGCCATCTTAGCCTCTATTTGAATTGCAGTTGCCATGATGCTACACGTGTGATCAGCTAAGACACCAGCCATTTGAGGGCTTGAATATTCAGTGGAGAGCTGAAAGAAGCACACTGGCAACCTTGACAGGTGGCATACTTTAAAGTAACTGTTTTGAGGGTCTAGTGCTGTTTTACTGTTAATAGTATGCACACTGGTGAACTTAAGTGCACACAGCAATCACCATATTCCCAGTGCATCTTATAGCTTGAACGCTCAGTGTTGAAATAAATCAGCCCATTGGTCACAGTTTTACTCATTGTATGGTCAACTTTACATGAATTTCATAAAAACTTACCAGTCAAAAACTGTTAGCTTTATATTTTCACACACTGAGGGAAACTGAAAAAGTACATAGTTATTATATACATTCACATGAAGGCATCACAACATTTTCCTATATAGCTCATTGTCTCTAACCTTTATTTGAAGATGGACAGCTTGGTTCCACTCTGGATTAGCATTTTTCTCTATTATTTTAGTACAGACCTGTCAGACATAAAAGACAAGACAGATTGTAAACAACTTTAAAAAAAAAAGCATATAACATTTGTGATTTGAAAGATATCATGACTGGAAAATACCTTTTTTCCAGCAAATGACACTTCTACAAATGGATCAACTAGATTTTTCTTGTCAGAGTCTGCTCCAAAAAGTTCCTTCACTGACTGTGCAAAAGCATCATCCACTACGAAAAGACAAAGGCTTTAGTGCACAGGGTAAGTATTAAAACTGATCATTCAGCTTTACTTCAATATCCATCCAATATAAAATGTATAAAAACATAACTTTTCATGGTGTACCATAGTAGTTACTTATGTCCTACTTTAGCTCAACAATGTACACACTGCTGACCC